GAGGGTTCCAAACTAGGAACCAGCTCACACAGCGGAAAGGTCATGCTGATGTCAGAGCACAAGTCTCCTGGAGTCCAGTACAACTAGAAACAACATGGACTTCGCAGGCACTACAACAAGGGTAGACTGCTTTTGGAGTTGAGTGGCAGATACTCGGAGAGCCAACAGAAATTAACCCACACCAGGAAGCTGAAGGTAAGTGATGGACGCCCAGTCCTCTGGCTTGAACAAATGGATGAACTGTGCTAGCATTAACATGGTGAATCTGGAGGATGTGGAGGGACTGGTGGGCTGCTGGAGCTCGAGGCGGGTGGGAGTGAAGCGCTCTGTGTTAGGTTGGTAGACAACAAAAGGGAAAGCCTAGGCCAGCTTTCCCAAAACCAGCAGGTGGGGGGGGGGGGCTCCTAGTGTTTGTTTGAGATGGAGTCTCATGCTGTAGCCAGGATAGGCTGGAACTAACTAGGCAGTCCAGGCTGACAGTGAATTTGCTGAAATCCTCCTGCTTCAGCCTCCCAAGTGCTGGGATTACCCTCATGAGCTTGGTTCCTAAACGTTAACAGTTTAATCCCTTTAACGCATGATAAATTCTTACAAGAAATAATGTGCTAGTCACCAGGCATTATAGAATTTCTTACGGACTAATTCATAATGCACCACAGGTACTGTCATTTGATGATGGGATGAAGTTTAGAGTTCTACAGTGAATGATGTCATGCAGTTGCACGGCACAGTCCTATCACCAGAATAGTGGTATCAAGCCCCTGTAAGAGTGCCAAATGCTTCGTTGAAGCTTTTAATTGATGTGAGTCCAGGCCCCATACTGCCATGCCGGGTGGTACACGGAAGAAAAAAAGTTGCACTGAAATCATTAGCACAACCTCCAGGTGGGAGCAAGCTCTGATGATGGAGTGCATCCTGAATTAATTCTGGGAGGTCACAAACATTCACACAGCAGAAGAAGAGGAAGCTAAGTGGTTCGGGAGAGAAGGTCATGACAAATGAGATAGGAATACTGGAACCACACTGCCAATCGGTTGTCAAGAGGAGGAGATGACACAGTTTCCACGTCCCAACTGCAATGTTCTGAACAATGGGTTTGGGAATCAAGTGAAGCAAAGATGAAGGTCTACTGTTGCAGAGTCCAATTATTTTGTTTTGTTTTTGTTTGTTTTTTCAAGACAGGGTTTCTTGTGTAGTTCTGGCTGTCCCAGAACTCACTCTGTAGACCAGGCTGGCCTTGAACTCAGAGATCCACCTGCCTGTGCCTCCCGAGTGCCAGAATTAAAGTTGCACACCACTACCACACAGTGAGTCCAACTAACTGTAAAGTCAGTGACCTCCACAGACATTGATAATGGTCCAGGACAATGGTAGATTCTTTAAAATGTTTTATTTTTTATTTTTTTTTAAGATTTATTTATTTATTATGTATTCAGTGTTCTGTTTGTACGTATGTCTGCACACCAGGAGAGGGCACCAGATCTCATTATAGATGGTTGTGAGCCACCATATGGTTGCTGGGAATTGAACTCCAGACCTCTGGAAGAGCAGTCAGTGCTCTTAACCTCTGAGCCATCTCTCCAGCCCCCTAAAATGTTTTATTTGTATGACTGTTTTGCCTGAGTGTATTTCCATGCACCCTGTGCCTGTTTGCTGACTGCAGAGGCTGAAAGACGGTGTCAGATCTCTTGGAACTGGAGTTAACAGGGGTTGTGAGCTGCCACGTGGGTGCAGGGAATCAAATCGGGGTCCATGGGAAGAGCAGCCACTGCTCTTAACCCCTGTGCCACGCCTCCAGCTCCCAATGGTAGATCTATATATGAAGATGCCTCCCAAGTGGGGCATGGTGGTACATGCCTGTAAACTCAGCAATCAGGAGGCTGAGGCAGGAAGACTGTGAGTTCAAGACCATCCTGGACTAGAGCCTGAGATCTTGTCTCAGGATACCACACACAAAGAAAAGCTGCCCTTCCGTTTCAAGGGGGCTTAAAATAATAACTGCTGGGGGGGGGTAGGTCAGGCAAGGAGAGAAAAGGCTGAAACCCATTGTCCCCATCTCTTACTAACTTGTGACTGAAATGCTGGAAAGAATGGTAAGGGACACAGTCTCAGTGAAGATACAGAAGTCCTAACTGAACATAAAATCACTCCAGAAAGCCTTTAATCCACAGTAACTTTGTTCTCAATTCAAAGGCTGGTGAAACTATTGACCAAAGTACCCAAACCCTTTAATGACAGTGTCCACAGTAGTAAAACTATAGTTAGGGGACAGCTTCCATTGCAACCTGTGGTCACAGTCATGTTTAGTCTACACATTTCCCTTCAGCTGGACGTCTTGCTGTTCTGAGACAGGGTCTCATGTAGCCTCAGGCGCCTTTACACTTAACTGTGTCCATGAGATTGGCCTTGAACTCTTAACCTCCGCTTTCCACCATGCCACCACGCCCATGTGAGACGGGGTCTCTCTATATATGTAGTTCAGCCAGGCCTAGAAGTCGTGGCAATCCTCCTGCCTCAGCCTCCCAAATTTCCAGATTTCAGTTCAACTTGGTTTTTTTTGTTTGTTTGTTTGTTTGTTTTGGTTTTTCGAGACAGGGTTTTTCTGTGTAGTTTTGCGCCTTTCCTGGGACTCACTTGGTAGCCCAGGGTGGCCTCGAACTCACAGAGATCCGCCTGACTCTGCCTCCCGAGTGCTGGGATTAAAGGCGTGCGCCACCACCGCCCGGCTTGTTTGTTTTTTTGAGACAGAGTCTCCCTATGTAGCCCTGGCTGTCCTGAAATTTACTGTATAGACCAGGCTGTATAGATATTTACTGTATAGTGATCCCCCTGCCTCTGCCTCTGTTGTGCTGGATTAAAGGCATGAGCCACCACGCCTGGATTCAGCTCAACTTTTAATTGCAGATTGTTTTGCCCAAAGGTTTTGTTTGTGGATGAAGGAGGGAAGGCTATGGGGTTCTAAAAGAGCTCTGGCACAACAGGCCGGGTTACTACCAGTGAAGTAACCTGGAAACATGGGGCAATGGTAATGGCTGACAGCAACTAAGAATCTGCCTTGTGCCACAAACTGGGCCAGGCGCTTTATGTCCATTAACTCATTTAATGTCTCAACAACATGAGGTGGATGTCATTACCCTGACGCCAAAATTAAAGAGCAGGAAGTAGTTTGCTCAGTATCTCACGGCTGCTGCACGGGGAACCTGGATTCTGAAGTTCTAGAATCCACAAGACTGTGGTTAAATGCTCTTGGCGCTTGGTGGGGTGGGGACCAAACCTGGAACCAGTCCTAGGGAGGATATTTACCCTACTTCCTCTCTTGGACAGGAAACTGAGGCTCCTGAGCAGTTGATTAAAATCTTGCCTGTCTGAATCTGGCTCACCCTGCTCTACCACACTAAGTGATAGAGATTGCTGCTGAGAATTCTCCCGGGCATGTCCTGGCTGGAAGAAGAGATTATCTTTTTGCTCAAGGGTCCTTTCTTTGCTTAATCCTATTTATACTCATTTCACTTGCACTGCAGACAAAATCATTAAAACAAGAAACCAGATTTCTCGAGAAGAAATTTGTGTGTTTAAAAATCAGTGTTGCACAACCCTGGGAATAGACTCAAAAAGCACTGAATTGATTAAGTGGAAAACTATACTATGTGAGTTATATCTCAATAAAACTTCTTTTGTTTTTGTTTTTGTTTTTAGTTCATTACTTCAACACTGCATTACTTCACTGGCTGCTCTTCAGAGGGCCCAGGTTCGAATTCCAGCACCCTCATGGCAGCTGACAAACAGTGGTACTCTAGTTCCACGGAATATAAGACCTTCTTCTGGTCTCTGTGGGACCCAGGCAATCATGTGATGCAAAGACATATATGCAGACAAAACACCCAACACAAAACAATGAACTAAAAATAACAACAACAAGGGATTTTCATCATTTTTGAGTGATTCCAGATAGGCTCCTGATAAAAGACCCATAAAAAAGAGAATCAGGGGCTACCGAGACCTCCATTGCTTATTCTGTTCAGTCTTTCCTCAGTCTACCCTTGTACCAAGCACAGGAGGAAAAAGGAGCGTGCTCCCTCAAGTTTATGTTTTGAGTTGAAGTTCTCAGAGACTAAATAGCAAGTTTTGGTGCTAAAAAAAATTGATTTGACTCTGGGCATGGTGGAGCATGCCTTTAATTCCAGCACTCCGGAGGCAGAGGCCAGTCTGGGCTACTGAGCAGGTTCCAGTACAGCCAGGGCTACACAGAGAAATCCTGTCTTGAAAAACCAAACCAAACCAACCAACTAAAAATTTGATTTTCACTTAATAATAATAATAATAATAATAATAATAATAATAATAATAATAATAATAATAATGGTTTGCTGGGCAAAGTGGCCCACATTTGTAATCCCAGCCCTTTAGAGGCTGAGGCAGGAGGAACAAGAATTTAAAGCTAGCCTTAGCTACACAGTGAGTTGGACACCAGCCTGTGCTATGTGCGCGAGCGCAAGAAAATTAAGAAAAAAAAAAAAAAGAAAGAAAGAAACCGATTCCAAAAGCAGGGAAGCAGAGGCCTTTGCTTGGAATCCTAGCAGTCAGGAAGCTGTGGCACAAAGTTAGTCTGCGGTTGGAGGATGTCCTTGGCTACAGGCAGCCTGTTTTTAAAACAAAACTTAAAGTAAAATGTTTTCTTTTGTAAGATACACTGCGTGTAAGACCTGGTCTCCAAGCTTCAATTTGTAATCATTTGCACTCCCCTCAAGTGTTTTGTTTTGGTTTGTTTTTCTGCAAACTCTGGTAAATGGCAAAACTGGAATCGATGTTAAAACGTGAACCCGATAAAATCAGTGCGGGTGCGTAGGATCGCTTTCCATGCAGCCTCCCCAGCAGGCTACCGAGCCGCGCGGCCGAGGAGGTCTGGGTGCCCGGACGCGCAGCTCCAAGGCGGCCGGTGCGCACGCAGCGAGCGCGGCAGCCCGGGTCACGTGCGCCCGGGAGTCTGCAGGAATGTAGCGACGCACAGGGAAAGTTTCCCCGGGGGCCCAGGCCGCGGATTCGGTGCGGGCGGGCGCGCAGAGGAAGGAAGAGCGGCGAGGAGGCGGAGCCCGCGAGACGCGCGGGCGGGCGCTCTGCGCAACTTTTTAGTTTGGGCGTCTGGGGCCGAAGTTTCTGTCTCAGTCGGGACGCCGCCGCGGTCGGGGCGAAGAAAGGGAGGAAGGAAGGAGCTCGGGGAGGGCAGGGAAGGCTCGGCGGCCTCGGGCACGGAGTGCAGGGCGATGCGGGCGCGCGACGCAGCCCCCCGAGCCTGAGCGCAGCGCCCCAGCGTCGAGCGAGGCCGCAGCCATGGAGCCCGCGCAGCAGCCGCCGCCCCAGCCAGCCCCGCAAGGCCCCGCGCCGTCGTCGGCGCCCGGGCCTCCGGCGGGGACCCCCACGGCCCCGCCCGCGCCCCCGGCCGGCCATCAGGTCGTGCACGTCCGCGGAGACTCGGAGACCGACCTGGAGGCGCTCTTCAACGCCGTCATGAACCCCAAGACGGCCAACGTGCCTCAGACCGTGCCCATGCGGCTGCGCAAGCTGCCCGACTCCTTCTTCAAGCCACCCGAGCCCAAGTCCCACTCGCGACAGGTAGCGGGGGCCCGGGGCCGCGTGGGGTGCGGGGCTGGGGGTTGTTTTCCCGAAGTTGGCGGCCGCGGGGGGCTGCACAATGCGCGCGCCTCCGCTCCGCACCTTCGCTCAGGCGGGGAGGGGGAGGGGGAGGGGGGAGGGGAGAGGGAAGGGGGCCCGGCGCCTGGAGCGGGACCCCCGTCCGGGGCCACCCCGCCTCCCCTGCCCGCGCCACTTGAGTCCCCCGTGGCGCCGCGTTTACTGTCCCCTTGTTTTCCCGAGTTGGTGAGGGGTGGGGGTTGAACCGGTCCATTGAGTTTCTGGTTCCTTCTCTCGGTCCCCTCCCCCTCCCGCTCGCGAAGCTTGCTGCTCCGGCGGCCCAGGCGCGGTCCGAGTGCAGGGTTCGGGCTCCTCCCGGGACTTTGCCGAGCTCCCTCGGGCCCCGCTCGCCCTCGCCGTGCCCTGGGACTCGCGCGGGCGGGATCTTTTCACACTCGGTGGGCTCACGTGTCGCCTTCCCAATCGTAACCTATTATTTACCGTTCGGCCCGCAAGCTTTGAAATGGGCCACATCCGTGCGTTGCGCAGGAACTAGGCTGCGCTCACGGCGCACAGCCTCTGCGCCGGCCTTTGATAGCGCGTTGCAGGTTGACTCATAGGCCGAGTCCTGCCGGGCTCAACTGTGATTAAAGGTAATGTTTGGGAAGCAATGACTAATTCCAGGCTCGCCATTGCTTTTTAACTGACTGCGGATGTGAACATGGTTGCTTATCCACATCCACGACGCCTGGTTATTTTCCCAACTGGATCCTACACAGAAGTGAAACCGTTTCAAAGTATTAACATTCCGATAGGTCCTGGTAGATTTCTTTAGTGTCGCTCCCCCCCCTTCCTCCATTTAATTACTTAATTTTTAAAGACCTTGCTTTAGGCTAAACCAGCAGAGGAACTTTGCCCAAAACTTAATTGGTTTTCCAAACACTGCCATCGTTAGCCCACTCGGGCTGTAACTTGAGTGGAAAGACTTGCCGCCCCCACTCCAGTCCTCCTCCTAGGCAGGCCTGCTTGCAGAACAGGGGGTTTTGGAGCTCCGAAAAGCTCGATTAACCTCGCTACAAAAAGTCGAGTTAAGGAGGAAGGAAGGAAAGGTTATTTAGCCGCTAGCCTAAACACTTAATTTGTAACAACAGTAGACGTACATACTATTCATGACTCCCTCCCCCACAAGTGGGTTTCTGGACTCACTGAGCTAAATGTATGTTGGCATGCAATCACAGACGGCCGCGGAAACTTTGAAGGAACACGCAGATTGAATGCTCCATTTTGTAGCACTTAGAAGTCAGAATGGAAAGTGTACTTGTAGTACCCAACTTCCACCCCGCCGTTTGTGGGGTACATTTGCCTTCTCACTAGCATTTTAAGAGAGTTGTGCATCACGAAATTTACTTTTTCTGTTTGCTAATCATTTCCTAACCCTAAATTTAATCTGATCTGAGACTAAGACGTGCCCCTGGCTTTGCTGTGGGGCTTTAAGTGACTGCTGGGTCCTTTCAGTTTCCTTATTCGCATGAGTCTGGGAAATCAAACGTTTTTGATAAACCCTAATTCTAATAAAAGGTTTAGATTATGAATAGTATGTATCTGAGTTGTAAATAATTGTCTATAGGTTCCCGCTTGAGAATTCTTATACCCCCTATGTGCTTCTGGCATGAAAAAACTAATTTACAGAAATGAAGACAAGTTCATTTCTGATACCTCGTATAACATTAGTCTGGTTGAACCCAGATTCGAATCCTTGGGGTCTCTGCAGGTTTTCCTTTTTCCTAACCCCTGCTGTTATGTGTGTATGTGAATCCTTAAGTTATAATTAAATTGATTACATCTTATCCTCTAGGCACAAAGAGGGTTGGTTGGTTGACTTCTTTTCATTAGGTAGCTTTTAGCATTGGTGCAGTTCTGAGCCTTTGAATTCATTAAAAGTTGTATAATTTATAATGATTGATTTATTGATCACACTTGTTCACAGTCAAAAAAAAGTGACAGATGGGGGCATTAGTTATTTAAAACGAAGTAAGAGAAAACTGCATAGTAATCCCCTAGGTTTTGTTCTAGGACTTTGAAAAGCAACCGTACTGCTTGGAAAATGTACTGATTTATTTTGGGGTGTGTGGGATAAACTATGTTCTCTACTACCAAATAACACCTCAGTTGTTTTGAAAATAGGTTTTAATGCCCAGTATTTGCTGTTTTCACAGGTCTAGGAGGTAGACATTCAGATGGGCTGCTCCTCAGTAAAATAACATTTATAGCGCATATTAAATTTATGTACTTTAAAAGTGGTCCATTTGGACACCTGTGCTCCTTAGTGTCAAAAATTGAACATTGAAGTTTGCTTTTGATATTTAGATATTTGGTTGCCATGAAATTCTATCTAGGGGATTGGGGGTATGTGCTATTGTCTCTCGGTTGTGTAAATTTTTATTTTACTATTTCCAATAGGCCAGCACCGATGCAGGCACTGCAGGAGCTCTGACCCCACAGCACGTGCGAGCTCACTCCTCTCCAGCATCCCTGCAGCTGGGAGCTGTTTCTCCTGGGACACTCACACCCACTGTGGTCCCTGGCCCAGCCGCCACCCCTGCAGCACAACATCTCCGACAGTCTTCCTTTGAGATTCCTGATGATGTACCGCTGCCAGCAGGCTGGGAGATGGCCAAGACATCTTCTGGTCAGAGATACTTCTTAAAGTAAGTAAAGATAATGCTGGGAGGTGGCAGTGAATAACATTATTTATTTATTCTGCTGGTGCTAAAGATAGACTTGGTCTTATGAATGGTAAACAAGCATACTTTACCATTGAGCTGCACCCCAGCTTCTATTTTTATATATACGAGTACCCTCTGTAGTGTTGGTCAGGTCTTAAAAGCCTTGTGTGTTCTTGGTTTAGAGCCTTTCTGCAAACCTTTGTTTTGTGGCAATGTGGGGTAATCTCACTTTGAGTTTGTGCCATATTTGTTAATTAGCCTGGCACAAAATGGAATACCATGAACAAATTTAAATTTTAAATAACAAGCTGGGCGGTGGTGGCGCACGCCTTTAATCCCAACACTCGGGAGGCAGAGGCAGGCGGATCTCCGTGAGTTCGAGGCCAGCCTGGTCTCCAAAGCGAGTTCCAGGAAAGGCGCAAAGCTACACAGAGAAACCCTGTCTTGGGAAAAAAAAAATTTTTTTTAAATAACAAGACTGGCATGTGTTATATTTTCTGTACCCCCTCCTCACATACGTGTGTGTGTGTGTGTGTGTGTGTGTGTGTGTGTGTGTGTGTGTGTGTGTGTTGAGTATTGAACACAGGACCTTGTGTATTCTTTCCAAATAAACCATTGGTAGAGAAGGAGATAGGACTTGGGAAAGAGGTGACTTTACAGTACGCAATTGAGAAACGGCAAACACTTAAGCTGCATTTTGATGTCATTTATCAACTTTTTCCCTCAAAAATGTTTGGCCTCAGGTCATGCATACTTTCAGGCTGTGGTCCTCAGAAGCTGTACCTTCTCTGAGAAGTGGAAACAAGGGCAGCTCTGGGGATCCCCCCCCCCCCCCCCCCCCCCGGCTTTTTGTCTTTAACAAAACGGCAAAATTACATTTTTCTGAAAAGGACACAATAGAATTTTATCCCCTCTAATTTTGAAATTGGAAGTGAAGCTAATTTCCTGGGGCTTGTTTGGATTTAGAATGTGCAGACTATCTAAGACAGGTTGTCACAGACTGGGTGTCGTTCTGTTATTCTTTGATTGGTTAATTGGTTGAGATAATGAAGTGAAGAACAATGCTCATTTTGATTCAGTGGGAAGTAAAAGCAGCCTTATTTATTGGATCTGAGGACTCCAGTGAGACCCTTGTTTTGTTTGTGAGCCCTTCCCAACCTCCCCAGTCTGTATTTTTAAGTTGATTGTCTTGGGTGGGTTGCTACTTTGTTTTGTGTTTTGAGACAGGGTTTCTCTGTGTAGCCCTGGCTGCCCTGGAACTCTATGTAAACCAGGCTGGTTTCGAACTCAGATCTGCCTGCCTCTGCCTCCTGAGTGCTGGGATTAAAAAGGTTTGGGTAGTAAGGACACAGTTTTGTGACAGGCCCTTCAGGAAGACAAAGGAAAAGATTTGATCTTGATCTTGCAAAGCCACCCCCTACCCCCACAAACAACCTTGTTTTTTGTTTTGTTGCTATTTTTTCCCCCTGTAACTTTTTCTTTTTAAAAAAAATTTTCTGGTGTCCTGGTACTCATTTCAAACGGTCATGTTTCAAGAACAATAAAGGGCCCGAGACCGGGAGACCCGGGAGACCCGGAGCCAGACCATTTGTTCTCTAAGGGAGGCCCCAAGGAACTGACTGAAGAGGGGCTGGCTGTGAGCGACCGTCCTAAGGGGAAGGAGGAGAAACAAACAGGTTGATGGGGTGGGAAGAGAAAGGCCCTGGACTCCTGCTGTGTCCCATGGCGGAGGGGATTTTAAACAGCTTCATAGCTGCAGCCTTCACTTGTGGCTGTGGCTGGGAGCAGAAGGGTAACGGCAACATTTATATTGTTTTTACTTTGTGTTTTCTTAAAATCGCTTGTTGGTGACCTCTGTCTGCATCTTCATTATTTGAGTGAGTGATCACTGTCTGAGCTGAAATAAACCTCATTGTAGATTCTTGCTTTAAAATGTTTTCGATGGTTCTTCCCACGGCAAGTGAGTGCTGGGTCTGTGGGTTTGAGGAGGTGCTCCACTAACTCCATTCTCACTTGGCATCCTCCCCTCCCTTTTCAAGGGGGCTAGAAAGAAGGTAAACAAAACTAAGACTTGCCATAGGAGGCCTGGGGAGAGCTTTGCCCAGGACATGAGAGAGGTATTGTTTCTGTGGTTGCCAGTGGAAATCACAGCTGCTTCTCTGATCAATGAGGTGTTTGCGGTTCTGCAGAGCTTTTTCATTATCGTGCTCTTAGAAGTAGGTCACCTGCAGCGGTGACTTGAACCCTCACAGCAGGTGAGCTGAGTCACGGTAGGAGGTGGGTGCTGTTGTCTTAGGAAATTGCTGTTTCTGAAGAGGAAGTGCTTTATGAACAATGTGCAGTTTGGAGAAGTGATGTGAAGCACAACTTTCTCTCCGGTGTTGACTTCCCTCTGGTGTTAGGTACCGGGTAGTTGCCTTAAAGAGCTGTCGCATACCAGATGAACCAAATCCTTCTGCCCCGACTGAGCCAGAGATGATGGCAACTAAAGCTTTGGTGCCACGTAGCTATTGTGTCCAATTTTATTTTTATCTTCGTTTTTTAGAATTTACTTCTCTTCACAATCAATACTTTCCTTTTGTCTGCAGCTTCTTCTGAGGTTCTGAAGATAGCTTACAGTATTAGTGTGAGCCCCAGGACCCACATGATGAAAGGAGAGAGCTGACTCCTGAAAAGTGTCCTTAGACATTACACACTCAGGGCCATGGTGTGTCCATGCTCACATTTGAATATGCACACACAGGTGCATCAATAAATAATTGTAATGAAAACTTCAAAAGATAACAGCCAGCTGTGGAGTGAAGATCTGAACTAGTTTCTGAATTTTAGCTCATTACCTGCCATAAAAAACTAAACCTTTCATTCCAATTTTTAAGTATTTACTGGGACAAAGTATATAATTTCTTGAGATTTATACATGGCAGGAAGGATTCTGACCCCAAATGGTCCACGCTGGCGTGGTGTTGTAACTTGAGAGATCTGGGAGAATTGTTGACTTGGGGAACAGCTATGGTTGCCTTGTGACTATGGAGGAATGTGTGTTGAAGTCTCTTGGCCCATCCTCCAGTTTCAAGGCCATCTAATTACCATGGTTGGTGTTAAAGCCCGTCCTGGGTCAGCGAGATCTAGAGACTTGGACTTTCTTTTGGCAAATGACATGGGTGGGTCTGTGGGGCAAAAGCACCTCTCCCCTGCACGGGGACCCAGACTCCAGAGAGTGCACAGTACCTAAAAAAGGCATGGTCATTGGGGATGCCACATCTGTGTCACCAAACTCACCATTTGAAACCCATTTCACCACAGTGCCATGAGTTTTTATTTGAAAAGAATCAATTTTCATTATAGCCCAGCACTTCTGCAGGCTTTCCTGCAGGAAATGGTTCCTCAAGTAGTTGGTCAACAACTTCCTATTTCTTTTATAAGCTTCTGAATAACTTCCTGAATTACCATTCTATAATATCTTTGGTTACAAGGAGTGCTTCTACTTCTCAGGTTTATTTTATTGAATCTGGTACCTTGTAACCTTTGCCAAGTACAAAGAACTTATTGTAAACTATGTACCATGTAGGCGTTACAATGTGATGTACCAAATGTATCTAGTGATTTAATGCATTTGTAGGTATACATTGTTTTAATAATGTTCTAACAGTTTTTAAAAGGTTTTCTGTGAGGGTGTTTTCATTTGTTTTTCTGAATAGCACCAGCTCTAGTGTTTTAAGGTCTTAGGGCTGTGGTTTATTTAAAAGAGTATTTTAGACGATGGGAATGTAGTTCTGGTACAGCAAGCACAAGGCCCTGGGTTTGCTCTGTTAACTTCCTAGCCCACTTATGGCAGGCTGGGGTAGGAGGCCCAGATAAGCCAGTGAGATGGCATGGTGGATAAAACCCCTGCTCAGCAAACTAATGACCTGGCCTCCATCCCCAGATCCCCACCTCCCCAAAGTTGTCTAATCTCCATGTGTGTGTCATTTGTGGTCTCTCATGAACACAGAGTAATGGTCAGTTTGAAAAAAAGATTGCACCCAGTTGTGGTAGTGCACCTTTAATCCCAGTGGAAGCAGGGGAATGTCTGAGTTTGGGGCCCACTGGTTTACATGGCAAGCTCCAAAGCAAGCAGGCTGCATAGAGACTGTATCAAAAAACACCCCTGCGCCAACAAAAGGAGAGAGAGAGAGAGAGAGAGAGAGAGAGAGAGAGAGAGAGAGAGAGAGAAGACAGGAAAAAAGGCAAATTAAATAGCTTGTGGTTTTGAATGACTTTAAAAAAGTATGTGAAAGTAGAGTATCTTGTTCCATCATTTCAAAAGGTTATTTTCTCAGATTTTTTTGGGAGTTACTCAGCGTTCAGCTTAGCCATACCAGTACGGAATGTACCTACCTCATGAGTGTACTTCATGAATAACAAATATAAGTACAGTAAGTACAGTAGTTTGATTCTATCTCTGTTACATGCTGTTTTTAGAAGAAGGCACTTCCTGGCCCCACCCCCACCCCCATTTTTTGTTTTGTTTTGTTGGGTTTCTCTGGAATTCCCTGTATAGACCAGGCTGGCCTCGAACTCAGAGTGGGGTGTGGCACCCTTGCCGCTGTCAGGGCCCTGATTGAACGCCACCTGGGAGTTGCGCTGTTCTTGTGATCGGCCCTTCTGGAGGACTGCGAACACTGCACACTCTGTAAAGATGAAA